GATCGTCAGGGCACAGTGAGAGCTAGAAGTGGGCCACACGGGGAGGGAGCCAGCATGGCGGCGGCGCGGGGCCTCACCAGCGGGGCCGTCTACAGAGCCAGAGACCCCAGCAGCCAGGAGCTGGTGGTAAACCCCAGGGATGGAGGAGAAAGTCGAGAGTGACCACCCAGAAGAGGGAGACCTCCACCTGGCTGAGGAGGCCAGGCCCTTAGAAGGGCCTCAACAGAAGAAAAGCCAGCTCAGAGCCTGCACCAGCCCCCCACCACTCCACCACTCAAGAGCTGTCTTCTCTTTCCCACTCCTCCCCCCACCCATATAGTCCACCTTGAGTGGGTGGGGGGTGGGGGTGGGGGGGATAATATGAGTGGGGGGCACGAGTCCAGCAGCGAAGCCCCCTTTCCCACGAAGCCTTCCAGCCCGAAACAAGCAAAGCTGGAGCAGAGAGAATGAGATGTCAAAGTTTACAGTTTTGACTAATATCTTGGCCTGGACAGTCGAATTCCAAATCAAGACTGTTTTCCATTTCAAGCGACCTTAGGACAGACTATTTCCTAAGAGGAGCAGAGAAGTCAGCGCCTGCCAGCGTTTTCATCCAGGGCCAGGGAACATTCGTCCCGCTGAATGTATTTTAAAGGGGAAGCAGAAAGCGAAAAAGCAAAATTGCGTTCCAGCGACCCCGCAGGCCCTGTTTGTTCAGCAGCCGAGTTAGCGGCAGAGGCTGGCGAAAACATCTCTGTGGAACTGAGAATAGCTGAGTTCCCGTGAAAGGAAAAAATGCAAATTTGTTTTCGGTATCACTTTCAAGCTTCCTGAGCGGAGCCCTTGGCCTGGACTGACTCTCATTGACGTCAGCCCACGTTCGCCATATCGGAGCAGCTGTTGGCTCGTTCCCTCACCCTCGGCCCCTGGTGCAGAAAACACGCTGGTTTTGTTTCATGGGAGATTAAAAACATTTGCTGCTGCGGCCATAATTCATGACCTCTGTTATCACCGGGACCAGGAACACTGCACCAGAAACCCCCAGCGCCCCCACCCCGCCCCTCAAAAGCAGGGTGGGGAAGCCACGGAGAGATGCCAGAGACAGGGTTATGCATCAGCTGGGACCCGGCCCAGACCCCCGGTCATTGCGTCCCTTCCCTTTGCCCCGAACACGAGGCAATGGATCTACAGCACACCTTCGGGGCTCTTATAAACCACTCAAAACATGGCCGTGTGCCTGAAGCCATGTGTTCTCCAACATCCTGTGAGGGAGTTGGCCCACAGGTCACACTGCCCAGGCCTCCGGTCTCACAGCAAAGTGGCAGCACACCGAGATGAGAAAACGAGATAAGAAGCTCTCTGGCTCCTCCCAGGGTTGAACCTGGTGCTGAGAGTAGCAATGCTGGCCCTCAGGCGGCCCTCCCTGGACCCGCGGCCAAACCCTGACGCTACCTGGGACCTTCTGGTTCCTTCCGGCATCCCGGAGGAGATTCCGGCAGGCAAAGCCCAGCTGAGATGCCTCCTTCAGCACACAGTCAGTTCTCTGCCAGAACTCCGACCACTTGTCAAGCTGGTGGATAATTCCATCCCCTTCCACAGGGCTGCTCAGACACATCCCTTAGGTAGCTGCTGTTCGGAACCTCCATTAAATGCAAGGCAACAGAAGCCAGTGGATTCTTTACGCCGTTCATTTGCTTAGTCCCGGGAAAGAATGATCTTCCCTGACTTGGCCCGTGATTTGGAAGCGAGGGGGGCGGAAACAGGAACCGGGGAGGGCCACGTGCACCGTCCCCCACCCCTCCGTGGTCTTCAGGTCCCCTCAGTAGGGACCTGGGAGTAGCGGCTGTGCCTCGAAGGCAACCCCCGCGCCACCGCTCCCCTGAATTCAGAGCCTGCCGAGGGCAGGCCAAGGCACCCGGGGACCCGCATTTGAATGCTCTTTGCTGTCAGTTGTCCTGGACATCGTGATAGGTGTCCACACCAAGCTCCAGCTAACGCTGCAAATCTCCTGCTGCCACCTTCCGTCTCCCCTCTCCCAGGGGGGCCTTCCCTGGACCTCCCACCCAACGCTGGCTGGGGTCCCTCTGCTGAGATCCCTGACCAGAGCACGCTGTAACGGGCCCGGAGCCGTGAGAGGGTGGGGACAGTGCCCTGTCTACACCCCGGCTCCCATGGCCTAAGAGGCAACGTGAAGTGTGCCGACCACAGTCAGGATGTTATTGTTGCTGCTGCTGCTGCTGCTGCTGCTGCTGTTATTATTTATCAGTGAGTAATGATAGTTCAACACATTTCCCTTTCTGGAGTCTGAGTAAGCCCGTAAGGGTGTGTGGATTCACATCACTGGCTGTCTGCTCAGAACTGGGGGATTTTTCTGCTGGAAGGCAGACTGGGGTGGAGGGAGAAAGGAGTCATTTTGCCTTTGCTACTTTTAACCAATCTTTTGTTCCCAGCTGTGAACTTTTACTTCACTAGGGATGAAACAAGAACCTTTTCAAACGCTAATAAAGAAATGCATACCAAGTGACCAAAGTAAAATCTGAGCTCAGAGCCAGAATGGGACTGGCTTGTGGATTGCACACAGTCCACACAGAGGCAGGGGGGTGGGGACACCAACAGAAGGGAACTGGGGGAGATCTTATCTCCCCGAATGGCTCAATGCTGTTGAAATAATATGGACAAAACAGTAAGATGAGGTTCAGCGTTGGCACGGTAAAGACACCATCATTCTCCCAACAAATAGTTACTGAGTCACCGCCAGGTGCCAGGTTACAGTTGTACATGGATGTGCTCGCTGCCCCCCCAGGACCTCCCAGCCTCCAGGAGACAGACACTGTCCCACCAGGCTGAGCAAATGCTATAAAGCCAGGTCTTCGGGAGAGACCATGAGAGCCGAAAACGGATACTGCGTATGGCGTGGTGGAAACAGCTGAACTCGAACATCAGACAGACCTGGGCCAAATCCCGGGTCCAAACCTTACTAGCTCTGGGACTTTATCCAAGTTCCTTAACCTCTCTCAACCTGTGTGCGCCCCTGGAAAATGAGACTGTCGGTGCTTGCCTCGTAGGGTTGTCATAACAAGATTAAATAGAACGTACAGCAGAGTGGCCGGCCTCGTCCACGGCTCAAAGAAAATACTAATATGGTTGCCTCTCATCCTTATTAACTGTCTGACAAAGAGCCGGTTCCCCAAAGGAGGTAAGATCCATGATGCATCCTGAAGGGATTTCTTCATAAAGAAAGAGGTCAGGGATTTGGTGAAAAGGAAGCATCGTTTACAAAGATACAGACGCATCAAGTTGCACAGCGTGCTTGGAAAACAGCAAGGAGTTCAAAGTTGCTGGCCTGAGGGGTGCACGGGAGGGAGATGCCAGACAAGTGGGTTTGATCCCTGCTAGGAAATCTGGAGTTTATCCCGTGCGCAACTGGTCAAATGATGATGGGTTTTGGAATCAAAGAACTGACTTCTATCCCACCACACTTTGGGGCAAGCACGGGTTCCTCTTCAGTTAAATGAGGACAGTAACATCAACTCTTGAGGGCTGCTGAATGGTTGACATCCAGGTCCAGAAAACTTTTTCTGTAAAGAGCCAGACAGTAAATATTTTAGGATTGGCGGACCATACAGTTTCTGCTGCAATGACTCAAACCTGCCATTGTCGCATGAATGCAGCCCTTCACAATCCATACAGCAGCGACTATGATAGTGTTCCAATAAAACTTTATTTATAAAAACAGGCAGCGAGCAACATCTAGCTGCAGGCAGTAGAAAACAAAACTAAAATCCCTAGCACAGCACCTCGGAGTTCCTGCTTCCTACCCCCGCTCTCCTTTCCACATGCCAACGGGGGCGTTTTTTCTAGGTCCTTATATCATGGTCAGCGGTTTCAAGACGTTGCAAAATGACTTGCAGATTATAGTGAATCTCCCCTGATCTCAGCTCTAGAGACCGTGATGCATAAAGATATTTGTTCAACACAGTGAGGACGGCTTTCCCAGGAGCACTGAGTAGTCAATCAGGCAGTCAGTCGGAGAGCACTCATCCTTCGTGTGGCGCTTTGCCCTGCAGTGGAGATACGAGGGGCACCGAGGCCAGGTCCTCACGAATAGCACGCGGTCTCATAAGACATTCCTACATCCTGGTTGCCTGAGTTCTAGTCACGATTTTATACGGTTTTAGTTGAGTGCAATTTCTCGAAAGTCACATTTTCCACTTCTTAATCTGTGCAATGAAGAAATTCAACTAAATGGCAGTGTGATTCTGTGTGTGCAACAGAGAGATTCTGGGAGTTGGGGAGGGCTTCCTGGAGCCATCTTGAGGGAAGCCATGCCCACGGACTGGCCTTCTGGGGTCAAGCTGGTATTCCTTGGGAGAAGGGACAACATAAAACCTGGCAGGAGGGGACAATCAGCAACCAATGCATGCACATCAGTGCATCAAGGGAGGAGGGCAGGAGGGAGATGCAATAAAATGGAAGAAATGGGTGGGGCCAGCCCAGTGAAGTCTCTTTGTATTTTTGCTGTATCAGAAGAAGTAGACTTTCTAGTGCATAGGGTAGATAAGGAATCAAAACCTCAATGCCTTCAGGGGCTGGAGAAGTAGAAGTGAATCAAGTGGGTAGGATGTAAGCACAGGGAGCCGTGGGGATGGGGATGGGGCAAACTGGCGAGGGCATGCCCTGTCTTAGAGGGGTGTAGTGCTTGGCTGCTGCTGACTGCTTCCCTGTGGCCTTAAGGGCTCAGCATGGCAGATCTGGTTTTTAAAAGAATGTCAGAGGGGCGCCTGGGTGGCTTAGTCGGTTAAGCGTCCGACTTTCGCTTAGGTCATGATCTCCAGTTCGTGGGTTCGAGCCCCGCGTCGGGCTCTGTGCTGACTGCCGGCTCGGAGCCTGGAGCCTGTTTCAGTCTGTGACGCCCTCTCTCTCTGACCCTCCCCTGCTCATGCTCTCTCTCTTTCCTAGAAATAAATAAAACATTAAAAAAAATTTTAAAAAAAATAAAAAAAAAGAATGTCAGAAATTTAGTACTCACTTCGGCAGCCCATACACTAAAATGGGAACAACGGAGAGAAGATTCGCATGGCCCCCATGCAGCGATGACCTGCAAATTCATGAAGTGTTCCAGATTTTTAAAGACCCCCCAAATAGCCAAAGTGATTTTGAAGAAGCAAAGCAAAGCTGGAGGCATCACAACTCCAGACTTCAAGCTATATTACAGAGCTGCTGTAATCAAAACAGTACAGCGCTGACACAAGACACGTGGATCCATGGTACAGAATAGAAGACCCAGAAATAAACCCACAGTTATATGGCCAATTAATCTCTGACAAAACAGGAAAGAATATCCAATAGGAAAAAGAAAGTCTCTTCAACAGATGGCGTTGGGGGAAACTGGACAGCTACGTGCAAAAGAATGAAGCTGGACCACTTGCTGACATCATACACAAAAATAAAAGCAGTAATGTCTCTGACATCAGCCGGAGCAACATTTTTCTAGGCATGTCTCCTGAGGCAAGGGAAATAAAAGCACAATTAAGCCATCGGGACTACATCAAAATAAAAGGCTTCTGCACAGCAAAGGAAACAATCACCAAAACTAAAAGGCAACCTGCTGAATGAGAGAAGAGATTTGCAAACGACGTAGATGTGGCATATATATAGAACAGAGTATTATTCAGCCATAAAAAGGAATGAAATCTTGCCATTTGCAACAACGTGGGTGGATCTAGAGAATATCATGCTGAGTGAAATAAGTCAGAGAAACACAAATACCATATGATTTCACTCATATGTGGGATTTAAGAAACAAAACCAATGCATAAAGGAAAAAAGAGAAAGAAATCAAGAAACAGACTCTTAACTACAGAGAAGAAACTGATGGTTACCAGAGGAGAGGGGGTGGGTGGATGGGGGAAATAGGTTATGGGGATTGAGGAGGGCACTTGTGAGCACAGGGTGAGGTGTGGAATTGTTGAATCACTATATTGCACACCTGAAACTAATATAACACTATGTTAACTACCCTGGAATCAAAATTAAAAAAGGATGTCAGACATTTACATTTGTATATAGAAGCTCCTGGTATTCAAAAATTGACCGATTTTTTAAGAAAATCAACATCATGTCACCTAAACAAAACATAGGTGGTTAGATTCTGCCCTACTTGCCAATGAGTGTAGATGGTGACTGATTTCAAAGAGAGCTGTAGAGAGCCCGCAGAGTTCATGAACAAAGCTAAATCCAGTCCCAGCCTCTACAAACAGAGCGTCCTTCAGCATTAGACCAAACTGCAAGCCTCACCTGGAACTAGAGTTAAATTTGAATTTTAAATAAACAAGGGAATACTTTTTTTTTTAGCATAAGTATATCCTAAACACTGTGTGGGACACACTTATGCAAAAAAGAAAATATTCATGGTTTATCTGAAACTCAATTCAAATTTAACTGGGCATCTTGCATTTTTGTCTGGTAAGCCTGGCCACTCTCCCTGGAGTCCTACACCAGGCTCCAGTGGGGTCACAGTCTCCTGGCTCGTCCCAGGGGCGGGTTCTACTCTCAAGGACATAGGGACACAGTCCACAATGCAGATTTCAAAGGAAAAAGGAAGCAAGGCAAATGTTTGAGCACCTGAACACTGCGGTCACGTATGAGGTGATCTATACATACTACCTTTGATGTCAAAGGATGGATATTCTAGAGCCATCTTGGCCCCTCTGAGCCTTGGTTTCCTCGTCTCTTACACGGAGAAGGGAATTCCTATCTCACAGGGTTATCACATGGATTCAATGAAAGAAACGTGAAAGTGTATCACACAGCGTGTGACACCAGGCAGACGCACAACAAACGTCTGCTGTGTGTTAAATGAAATTCCTCAACCCCAGAATGATTGCATCTCCACATCTCCTGTCACCAAACCCATCTACTGAGGGTCCCAAGAAGCTGGGGCAGGGGTAGCATGTGAATCCACCATCATGGGCACTGCTCTGGGGACTGGGAGACAGCCAGGGCACAGAGCTCCTGGGGAACCGTCAGGATCACAGTTCAGGGGAAGAACGAGGACCCTGGCTTTCTACACTTTTGGGGCTGGATGCCGAGTGTGCAGGATGCTTTTTTTTTTTAATTATTGAAATACATTTGACATACAATATTGTGTATGTTTAAGGTGTACAACACGTTGATTTGATATTCTTGCATATTGTAATACGATTGCCATTGTATTTAGCACCTCTATCATGTCACATAATTATCTTTTCTTTTTTGTCATAAGAACAATTAAGATCTAATCTCTTAGCAAGTCTGATAAATACAATATTGTTGCCTATACTCACTGTACTGTCTAGTAGATACCCAGGACTTATTTATCTGCTAACAGTAACCTCTCTCCTATTCCCCCGCCTCAACCCAACCCCTGGCGACCAACCTTTTACTCTGTTTGCATGAGTTTGGCATTTTTACATTTACATTTACATGTATAAGTGATATCATACAGCATGTGTCTTTCTCTGACTTCCCTCACTTCATATAACGTCCTCAAGGTCCACCCAGGTTGTCTCAAATGGTAGTAGGATTTCCTCCTCTCTTGTGGATGAATAATATTCGTGTGTGTGTGTGTGTGTGTGTGTCTGTGTGTGTGTTCTTTATCCATTCCATCTGTTGGCAGGCACATAGCTTGTTTCCATATCTTGACTATTGTTAACAATATTACGATAAACATGGCGAGTATGTATACCTGTTCGATATGCTGTTTGTATTTCTTTTGGGTATATACCCAGAGATGGAATTGTTGAATCATACTATATTTTGTTTTGTTTTGTTTTCTGAAGAACTCCCACAGTGAGCTGCACCAATTTACATTCCCACCAACAGTGCGCAAGGGTTCTCTTTTCTCCACATCCTCACCAATACTTCTCATCTCTTGTCTTCTTGACGCTAGCCCTTCTAATAGGTGTGAGGTGGCATCTCATCGTGGTTTTAATTTGCTTCCCTGATGAGGAGCGATGTTGAGCATCTTTTCATGTACCTGTCGACCATTTGGATGTCTTCTTTGGGAAAACATCTCTTTAGTTCCTCTATTTTTTAAAATCAGAACATTTAGGGGATTTTGTTCTTGTTGTCACTGAGCTGTGAATTCTTTATAAATTTTGGATATATCAGATACATGGTTTGCAAATACCTTCTGCCTTTCTACACATTGTCTTTCCATGTTGTCAATTGTTTTTTTGTTTTTGTTTTTGTTGTTTTTCTTGCTGTGCAGAAGCTTTTTTAAGTTTGAGGCAGTCTGACTTGCTGATTTTTGTTTTGTTTTGTTTTCTTTTGGCATTCATGCACATCCAAAAAATTATTGGCATTGGCAAGACTGATGTCAAGGAGTTTCTGCCCTATGTTCTCCCAGGAATTTTACAGTTTTGGGTCTTCTGATCCATTTTGAGGCAATTTCTGTGAGTGGCAGTCCAATTTCATTTTCCTGCATGTTTTTTATCCAGTTTTCCCAACACCATCTGTTGAAGACTAGCCTTTCCCCATTGGGTGTGCTTAGCTCCCTCATCAAATATTAGTGGACCACATACGTGAGAGTTTACTTCTGAGCTCAGAATCCTTCTTTTTAATTCGTGCTTTGCCGCCGTTCTTCGAGCAGCATGGCATTCGCTGCAGGTAGCGTGAAGATGGTTTCTCAGGCACTCGGAGTATTCTTCGGGGGGCTCAGAGAAACCCGGGAGTGGCTCTGACCACCCGCCCAGCTCTTGAAAGCCACACTTGAACACAGAACAGCTGGGAAGGCCTTTGAGCACTGCAGGGCCAGAAACAGAACTTGAAACCCAAAGCTCTTCATTTTATCTGAGGCCTTCCCCAGAGTGCCTGGAGGGTGACAAAGAATGTCTGTGCGTGTGACACAGAGGCGCTGCCACCACATGCTTATACCCCGCACACGCACGCACACAGACTTAACCATCTCTGAGAGATTTCATTGTAATCTGCTTCTGGACTAAAATTATAGTATTAGTTTGGCAGGGCTGTGGCTTAGTCCATTTGGACCATTATAACAAAAGTACCACAGACTAGGAGGCTTACCAGCCACAAACTTCCCACAGTTCTGGAAGCTGGGAACTCCAAGATCAAGGCCCCCGTAGACTCGGTGTCTGGTGAGAGCCTGCCTCCCAGTTCACAGATGATGACTTCTTGCTAGGTCTTCACGTGGTAAAAGGAGCGAGAGAGCTCTGTGGGGCCTCTTCTATAAGGCACTAAACTTATCCATGAGGCTCCACTCTCTTAACTGGATCACCTCCCTAAAGCCCCACTTCTTACCACCAGCCCATGGAGGGTTAGGTTTTTAACATGACTTTCAGGGGCGGAGGGCCAGGGATACAAACATGCGCGCAATTCACAGCCCCAGCTGACCTCTAAGACTTCAAATTCCAGTAAAGGGAAAGACAGTCTTTTCATGTCACAGTTAAACATAAGGCTTAAATACTTTAATGCTCTTTGCCTGTGGAACTCAGCTTCATGGCAGCTCTAAGGATAATTATATTTGGTATCTGTCTTTGTGTTTTGGGGCACCTTGATATAGTCAAGCTCACCACACTCATACCAGGAGGACCCCCCACTCACTCACACACAACCCCACCAGGCTCCTTGTCCAAAGAAAGGAAATGCCAGAACTCTGAAAACTAGGGTCTAGGCTAGATTTCTAGAAGCCTGACTTGGGGGAGGGGAGGGGTGTCTCTGAGCCCCTCAGGATCAGCCTTACTGACCCCTGCCAAGCATACCCTCCAGGAAGGGGAAGGGCGCAGGTACTCAAGGGGCATGATAGAAATCAAGCTCTCTCGGGGCGCCTGGGTGGCTCAGTAGGTTAAGCATCCGACTTCGGCTCAGGTCATGATCTCACAGTTCGTGGGTTCGAGCCCCACGTCGGGCTCTGACAGCTAGCTCAGAGCCTGGAGGCTGTTTCAGATTCTGTACCTCCCTCTCTCTGACCCTCGCCTGCTCATGTTCTCTCTCTCTCAGAAATAAGTAAAACATTAAAAAAAATTTTTTTTAAGTATATATTAAAAAAAAGAAAAGAAATCAAGCTCTCTCACCAAGAACACAACCTCCACTGGAGAAGAGCCAGCACTGCCCTGTGCCTGGATGGTG